CTGGCATAGTGTACAGAAACATCTGTGCCGAGTACAGGCTGGAAGTCCCAAAGTCAAAATGGGATACACCTCCAAAGGTGGTTGAGAATGATCAAGCTAAGATCCTGTGGGACTTCAAGATACAAACTGACAAACTGGTAATGGCCAACCAACCAAACATAGTAGTGGTGGACAAACAGAAGAAGAAGGCCATAGTGATAGATGTAGCAATCCCAAGCAATAGCAACATCAGGAAGAAGGAACACGAGAAGCTTGAGAAATACCAAGGTCTGAAAGAAGAGCTAGAAAAGATGTGGAAGGTGAAGGCAAGGCACAAGTGGTCCCCGTGGTAATAGGAACATAGTGTCTTGCCCAAGGACACTTCAACACATGGACTGCAGGCACCGAGATTCAAACCTTCAACCTTCCGGTTGGGAGACAAGTGCTCTACCCACTGCACTACTGTTGCCTTCAACCTAACTTGTCTTAATTGGTTAACAGTCTGACCTTAACTGACCCATGAAAGGTGACTAACAGAGACAAGCCAGTACAACATGTTTCAGTTATCACTGTGTGGTGGCTTCACTTGTCTAATTTTTCACCTGTTCCTGTAACCATGAATTAATATAAACATATTTTTTACCTGTCACACATCATATTTGTGGGTACCTGACCCGGTGCAGGGCTCTGATGCAGCCATATGTAGGACCATACACCAAAAGGGGGTGACTCATGTATTATCAGCCAGTGGCATTGAAGCTCCACTGGACATGTTAATGTGCATGCTTTCTGAGCTCACTGACTTGCCATAATTACATAGCAGATAGATAATGTTAGTTTCCAACTTTACAAGTATCACCTGAACGCTCCATTAAAATACCTTGTAATAACCAGAAATGTTCTCACAAGTTACTCTGTATACAAACAATGCACCAAGGTTATCATTATTATTGACAAAATAAATGTAATTTAGCTTTTTATTTGAAAGTCACATCTCAGAGACATGACTGGATTAACCTCCCGATGGGGCCTTCAAGACGAAAAGGTGGTCGGCCCCCTGTAGAGCCCACTGGCACCCAGAACCAGGACGCCAGTGTAGAAGTCATTAATAGATTAACAAAATAGATAATTGACAGAAAATAAATAGCAATGAACTTGTATATTTGATTTACTGTTGAATCATTTTTAGGCAAAAATTCTCCTGTACCAGATTTAACATTGTTGCAAGTTGTCTATGACGGCACACTCAACATCTTTGGGTTGGTCAGAGTGTCAGAGAAAACTATCAGTTTGAACAGGTGAATCAAATGATTATGAAAGATAACAATTGTCAGTTGTATTGATAATGGAAATAAATGTTGCTTGCACACAGTTCTTCTGTGATGGACTTGATGCAGAAGAAACTGAGGCAGTTTGATAAAACACATTACAATATATATGATCAATATAAACTAGAATTATGAAGGATTAATTTTACATTTTTGTGCAGGGTACCTCTACAAGTGCGGGCCTAGAAGATGAACAATGGAGGATCTAAGACAGATAAATTTGAATTAGAATCAGGCCATGGCCATGTGTGTTTGACACACGAGGAATTTGACTCTGGTACAGCGGTTCTCAATGTGTATGTACATATCCTTATGTACGGCGATAGCAAAGGGCAAGTAAACAATATGAGGCTGAGAGCACAGAAAGTAAGGAAGTAATGTGCAAACAAACAAACAAAGGAATGTGCATTAGGAAACGAGATAAAAAGAAAAATAGAGTACTAATAAATACAGACCTGTACATATACATATACATGTACATGGGTCAGCTGAGCACTCAGCCTGGCCACTGCCCAAAAGACAATGCACCGGCCCCCTACGGCCTCTCCAGCAGGTGGTGGGCCCGCTGAAGAGTGGCTGCGCGTTATGGTTTCAGGCTAAGCCCGGCCATGCCCCGTGGGTATAGGCCTGGC